CTAGAAGTGAACCTAGCTCATTTACCCACGGGCATGACCACTTCATGAAGCTGAGCTCACGGGAAGCCCATAAGTTTAAAGGGAGCGTTCACGATAATCCCGGCGGCTATTCACAGTTGGTATGGATGAGTAGCAATTACAAATAGCACCACAGCAATAGAAGTGCTTTTCGTTCAAGCGCTAGAGAAGCGTGTTTACGCACAACGGAGGCGAGCTTCCCTAGAATACTACAACAACAGAAGTGAGGACTTCCATGAACTTATCCGCCGTGTCTTTCATTGGGATAACCTATCTACACCTCCATCCCTATACTGCGGCTACATATTAGCTAACGTCTTACCTTCCGTAAAAATCAATGGAGAAAAGCTCAATTTCGTCGGTTCTGGGCCGTTTTTCTTGGCATCGGCTTCACTATCGCGCCAGTTAGCGTCTCGCTTCCACATTTCAAAAATGTAATCGCTGCGCTTGATTTCCATGATATAAAGACTGACTCGTGTGAAAAAAAAACTGTACCTTTTCTTGTAACTCTTGAAACCATGACGGATTGGAAGTGTCGATGATGCGGATATCCATCAAATTGCATAACGTTGCAATCAGTTCATTCTCTTCAAACGTAGTCTCACATCGAAAGTGGAACTCTCTCATGGCAGGATTCCTCAACACATAAACGATTTTCAGAAGAACTACAAAAGGGTAAGGCAGCGTAGAGGACTCTCAAAAGAGGATTTGTATTTGTAATTGCTGGGGACTCAGGTTGAGAGATAGCTTAAAATTTGCTGTTTTAGCAGTCCACACCCCTCCACTGTCACAGGGGTCGTAGACTATTTGTTGACGAAGAGGTAGAAGCAAACCGTAATGGCCAAAAGCTCCTCGGCATGTGTTTCACCTGATCACAAATGCAGTATACAACATGGTCAGATAGAATGAAATAGCTTCCTTATTCAACCTTGGGAAAGAGAGCTGAATTCACCTTATTTCCTCGTGGACAACTTTTGATTCATCATCACTGTCAATATCATTTACAGCTTCTATTGGAGAATCCTCTGTGTCGAGATCTGAGGTATGCCTGCAAACACATGCAACTGTAGGAGTACAAACTTGATTAGCTGGTGTTTCTTACCAACTTCAATTGAGAAAAAAAAGCCTGTTCGAAAGGACCAACTGCTAAAATGCATTGTTTTTTCAGTAGAAGGGCATATTATGAGCTGCACAACAACTAGCCACCAGACGGTGAAGCATGAAACACGAATTTATTCTGAGGCACATACAGTGAAATGCGGGGGCGTGCCAGCACCAATATTTTATTTATTCTTCATTCAGGAAAAAGAATCGCTGAGCACATCTACTCTGCCACTGCATATACTGAATGTATTTCAGGGGGCGAAAGACTGTCGGGTTAATCATGCCGACCAACACCATTCATGGTATCTCACATACCCAGAAGCCCTCCCACCTTCGTTGAAATTGGGAATAACCTGATGCCGTAAGGTATGCTTCCCCGAATGGTTGCGGGGACGAAAGTCCCTTTAAATTTTTTGTTTTGAACGATACTGTTTCTTTATTTTCAATGCATGCTTACTTTAAGCTACACACATATATTAGATGTAGGCCCTTTATCAGGACAATCCCAGTTGGGACTACAGAGAAAATTTAAAGGAACTTTCGTCCCCTAACCCTTCGGGGAAGCATACCTTACGGCCCCTTGATGTAAAGCTTCCATAACGAGATAGACCACATCATCTTCAATCGAAGGTTTTGCCTGACCGACGTCGCTGTTGTTCCAAAGTTCTACACGGGATCGGACCATCGTCTCCTCCGCGCGACATTCTACTTCGCGATGCGTGTTGAGAGAGCAGAAAGTTCAAGAAGCGAAGTCGCAGAATAGTCATCTCCTAGGTCCGCTCCACTTCTCTTGCCAGCTAATGAAAGGATTCCGTCATCGAAAACATAGAGGAGGAATAAAATCGACTTGTTGAACATCTTCACAAGGTGTAGAGGCAGGGAGGCAGAGTGTGGAAGTCACAAGGGACGTCTGTCTCCAGAAACTCTCGAGCTGATACGCCAACGGGGAGCCGTGCGAGCTTGCGAAGGCATGCAGAGGAGACGATAAAAGAAGATATAAAGAAGCGAAGAGCAGCAGCATTGGCTGAAGCAGTAGAAGCTGAGAGGAGCATCCGCAATGCCCGCCGATGCTTTGGCAGCGTTCAGCTTCCCTAATCTATCACTGCCTCAGCTCATGTGAACTAGGTTGGAAATCACGTCGATAAAGTGACCGCGGCAGTACGACTCGCCCCCTAAGTCAAAGTCTCCGGGACATTCTCAATGTCACCAGAGCAACCCAATTCTAGTCGATGGGATCGATAACGTCGTTTATTCTAGTTCAACCTGAAATACTTCAACGCCGTCCACAAATTTTGCAAATTTGTCATAGGTAGGGAAGGAGAGGAGGGAGGTGGACAGTCTGCAACTTCTCTGTCGACATCGCTATTTCATTTTCCTGCCAAACTCCTACTGTACCCATCTATAACCCCTGGAAGACCAAAACACGATCCCCACCTACCACGACGGCAAACACGACTTCTTGTGTACCACAGCTATAAGTGCGTGAATATGACCTGCATCATCTGTCGTCCGGTGATCGTCGATTTGCTCGAGCGGGCGCCAGCAACGTCTCCATTCGTCCCTGTCGCGTGCTAGAGTGGTCCAGTGGGTCCTCCTCGCTCAAGAGCTTGAAGAAGTCTGACCATCGGGCCGGCGGTCGTCCAGGTGTTCGTTTGACGTCCCGAGGGATCCAGTCGGTAACCGCTCTGGTCCAACGGTCATCGCAAAATCGCATGACGTGTCCGGCCCACCTTATCTTCGATTCCTTGGCGAAAACGGCAGCGTCCCTGATCTTCGATCGTTGGCGTAGTTCGGAACTCCGGATTCCCCTCTGCACTTGCGTGTATAGGGTTACTCCTAGCATCGTCCTCTCGACAGCGCGTTGGATAACGCTGACCGCATGCTCGTCCTGCCTGCGCAGAGTCCAAGTCTCTGAGGCGTAGGTTAGGGCAGGAAGGACAGCGGAATCGAAGAGGTGGGCACGGAGCCGGATGTTCTTCGTCTTCTTCACTACTCCCTCGATGTTCTTAAACGCTCCCCAAGCCGCTCGTTTCCTCCTGCTCAGCTATATAGTACATATATATAATGAATATATGTATAGTAGGGCAACTACTTGGCGACATTTTTACAGATTAATAGAAACGTTCGAAAAACAAATCATTCCCTTCAAGTTATCATGTGGCCAAAATGCACAGATCCGAGTATTTCAAAATAGAGGCTGGATGTTCAGTTTTAATGCTTGATGAACCCCATCCAGTTCTCCATGATAAGAGCTTGAGGTGTCGATAGATATGATATTTCCCATCAACCTTTCTGAGGTGAAACCTCAGCCAATTTCATTTAGCGGGATTTGCACACGAAAAGTTATGATGATGATGAAATAGCCTCACTAGTTTTTGAGTACATACTTCGAAAAAGAACGTAAAACAGCAATAATGAAATAACACCCAATACTCAACCAGAATGATACTCACTGTCTGTTGCTTAGTTTTTAGAAGCGCAGTGAAACTATAATACTTACTTGATGGAGTTCCTGTTACTGGTCGTGGTATCGGGTAGTTCTCCATTAGTCGTAGCATCTGCAAAAATATAATAAGTACAACTTGGATAATAAAATTTCTATTTCTATATAGTCCCACTAACTTCGTTATAAGACTTTTTCGATAATGTTCTCAGAATGCCCATACTTTTTTCTGCTCCTGATCTTGACATACTACTTTAGTGTGTCACACATGTGAATGCCTTTGCAAAAGCAGCTTTTCCTACCGTACCTACAGAGTTCCGCTCCAAAATAGGGCTTGAGGCATCCATTGAGTAAAAAGAAGTTCGAGATAATTCTTAGTGTCCAGTTTTATCCCATGAATAGCAGAGGTCAGGGGTGCCTTCAGTCGTGATTCCTGCTCTTACGATTTCTGCGAAAACCATCAGGGAATGATTTCCGAGTGGTACTGGTGCCGGTTGCTTTTCTCTCAGAATGACTTGAAAGCAGAATATCTTCTCGTAAGGGGAAATGATGACAGAAGAAACCCGTTACGAAACTGATGCTATTTTACCTAAAGGAAGTAAGATAAAAGCAGCACAGTAAGCAGCATAACTTCCAACGAACCAGCTACAGATCACGGCTAACAAGGGCGTTGCCCTCAGGTCACCATGGCCATTCAAGATAGATGTACACTACCATATGTCTTGAAACTGACTTCAAATCTGGCTTTCCAATATGCTGAACGATTAATTGCAAGTAGAAGAGCGTAGCAGTAGTGGTGCAGGCTCCTGGACAAGGGTTTGTGGGATGGGTTCTTGTGCAGGATTACTCTTTCATTTCCAAGGAAGACTTCTATATAAGTCAATTCATCAATGCTCGCCTAATGTTATGTGTACAACGACTTTAGGGTGAACTCTGGGCACTCTTTGCATCTTCAAAGCTGTTGCCTAAGAATGTACTACACTTTCTACTCACAATTTTCTGAAGGTGTTCTGAGAGGAGCGATCTTGAGACGACGTGAACACCACGGTATTTTCGTCGGCGTGCTAGAATGAAGAATGAACATCGGGATCAATTATACATTGTCTATCAAAAAAGTCAAGTTCTGGTATATTATCATGAAAAATATTAAAGTGTCCCATAACTTATAGGTCACTTCACATCAGCTGCTGTAAATATGTCCAGAAAAGCAGCCCATATTGGTTCACCCCTGCTCATTCGCCTGTTATGTATGCTTGTATTTTTATTACGTAGCAGAAAGCACATGTAAGAAGGTACGAAAAATACAACAACTAGTGCAAGTGTTTCCTAGTGCGTGATCGCACACCCTTACAAAATTCAAATGGTATAGCCTGAGGCGGTTCAGCGGTAGTCTTCTACGATGCCACAATATGTTTTGCCACGCAAAGTACGTCTTGCAACCAGGACTCAAACCACTCGATATCTTTACGCGCCAAAAATCCTCCACGCGATTACCTCAAACTTGGGTGATTGAACGAAATATAAGCAGATCAGAACTAAATGATGCAAAAATATCATAAAAACTGCATGTGATGTGAAAGATCCAAAATAACATTTTAAGTATAATAGTAATAGTGTAATACAGTGTAATGTATTGTAAATAGTGTAATAATATATAATAGTGTAATACAAAATCCAAAAGGAAAGGAAGTTCAAACAGGTGAGTAGCCACAGTAAGAGTGAAATCGACCAAGCACTGACTCAAAGAGGAAGAACCTTCTCGATATAGGCACAAAAGATCTCAAATTAGCCTACGATGATGACCTAGAGAAGCAGATGGCTAAAGGGTCTTAGGCCTAAGACCCCATGAGGGAAAATGAAGAATTATTATGATTTCGAACTAAAAAGAAGAGAGGAAAAGCTTCCTCCAGAATAAGCCCCCGAACAAGACGAGCTGTAAGGTGCCCCGCTTCCCTCTGCAGCTTCTGTAGCGGCTTGCTCTGCGCGTTGATGAAAAAGATAAGCGTTACCGGTGGCGTGTTGAGGATTTCTTTGAAGCGCTATCGCAAAGCTGCGATATAGTCTCCTAGGCTGATGTGGGGGTTTATATGCAGTGCAAACCTTAAATAAAGCGCGTCGACGTTTCCGAGTTGAGAATCCAAGAAATCCTTTGAATGAGGTTCGGCATGCTCAAAAGAGTTTCTCACTAACTAGATTTTTATAAGCAAATTTGCTGAGATGCTCCTTTTTCCTTATTGGATAGATCACCTAACACCAAATTCAAGCAATTGGCGTAAATTAGTGTTATACACCCGTAGACGAACAGACCATTCGTGGTCGGCAACCAATTAAACATGAAAGCGCGCGAGAGGCTAACCCGTGAAAATATTTGACTTTATCGTAGTAAACTACCTGACTGGTGTGAGCAACCATTGGTCCAACCAAGGGCCTGGACCGAGTCAAGTTGAGAAGCAACGCCATTGATAATGTATACAGGGGGAGGGAGTCACTTTGCCCATGGCGCATATCATCAAACTTTTCGTCGCAAAGGATGCCGCTGTTATTGGGAGTTATACGGCGAAATATTCCTTAGATGTCCCCCATAAGCAGAATCAGGCCCACCTTCGCTGCCTTCACCGTCTCCAGAATATGACGTCATCTGTCATCACCGTCGAGCTCAAGGAGGCCTACCATAATCGCTCCATTCTGAAGCTGCTACATAATTTCTTCAATCGGATGGTGAATGGCTTCTTAGGGACACTAGCTCTGACTATGCAAATGGCTTTTGACCAGCGTTTCAGAGACGTCGTAATCGTCTATGGTTTCTCGACGACCTCGTTGAGCTCGTACCGCGAACCATGTTTCCGTGGGAAAATCTTCTGATGTCGTCGGTGTAGAAGCCCCTATGTAATGTTTTTGATAGAATAGAATGTGCAATTGAGAGCTCATTCGGTTTGGTTTTGGCAAAGTGTAATTAATTCTGTTTTGAATGTGAGTAAGAGTGACTCCTTTTTTTGCGCCCCCCCCCCCATAGACTTGGAATAGCTTTTGGACTAGAAGAAATCCTCATGCACATTCTTTCTTGAGGAGCTAGCGATAATTGTCACCGT